CAGATGCCAGGTATACAGAATAAAAAGTGTTGGACCGGGCGCCTGGGTGGCTCAGTTGGTTAAGCGTCTGCCTTCAGCTCAGGTCATGATCCCAAGGTCCTGGGATCGAGCCCCGCATCGGGCTCCCTGCTCGGCAGGAAGCCTGCTTCTCTCTCTCCCACTCCCCCTGCTTGTGTTCCCTCTCTCGCTGTGTCTCTCTCTGTCAAATAAATAAATCAAATCTTAAAAAAAAAAAAAAAAAAAGTGTCGGACCTGTACTTCATATCCAGAGCTATCGCCCTCCCCTGCTGCCACAAAAACTATCTTGTAATCATTTAGCTTGGACTATTCATGGAATGCTTGAGTACTGTCCCTCTCTGTACCTCTAATCACAAAACTACAAGGCTTTAAGTCACCTGATGTCTGAATTTTTGCCTCAAAGTATGTTTCTTTTCAACCTTAGCTTTTAGTGCTGTGTGAATCTCTGTGAGTTCCTCTCCATTTCAAGTAAACATTAAAATATATACACATATTATTTAGTATGCATACTTTATAAGATAGGTGTTTTTCACCCCTTCTCTATGTTAGTCTTCCTATTCATATCTTTTTCTTCTCCCAATTATAAATAAATCAATTTTTAAATATTATTTTCTAATTTTAATGAGTAGAGGTTTATTCTTAGTCTTTAATTTTTTTTTTAAAGATTTTATTTATTTATTTGTCAGAGAGAGAGCGCGCGAGCACAAGCAGGGGGAGTGGCAGGTAGAAGGAGAAGCAGGCTCCCCGCTGAGCAGCGAGCTGACGCGGGACTTGATCTCAGGACCCTGGGATCATGACTGAGCTAAAGCCTGAGCCGAAGGCAGATGCTTAACTGACTGAGCCACCCAGGCGTCCCTCCTAGTCTTTAATTTTAAAAATATAGAGTAAAATATTTAATAAATTTTTCCTTCCTTAAAAAAAGTCCTTTTGATTTTTTTTAATTAGAAAAAAAAATTTTTTTTTTTAAGTAGGCTCCATGCCCAGTGTGTAGAGCCCAATGTGGGGCTTGAACTCACAACCCTGAGATCAAGACCTGAGCTGAGATTGAGAGTCGGATACTGAACCAACCAAGCTACCCAGGTGCCCCTGTCCTTTTTACTTTTTTAGTACCATTATTTTATTTTGCTAGTAAGCCAGTCTATCTAAAAGAAAGGTTGCCCAACCATTGTCTAGTGATTATTTAGGCTGCTCTACGTCCCTGGCACAGAATCTCTCTTCCTGTAACTATTGAGTTCATCTTTCGTTCTTAAAAACTGGATTCAAAATATCTGAGAGAGGTCACTGCTGACATTTGCCACTTTTCTCTCTTTTATAATGTTGCTGTTTCTAAAGATTTTATTGTTTTTTCAAGTAAGCTCTGCACCCAACGTGGGGCTCGAACCTATAACCCTGAGATGAAGCGTCATATTCTCCACCAACTGAGCTAGCAAGATGCCCCAAAATGCTGCTGTTCCTGATTTTTTGAAATTTTATTGTTATGTTAGTCACCATACATTACATCATTATGCTGTTCCTGATTATATTTCCCTTAAAACTTTCTCATCTCTAGCTTCCGTAATATTATACTGTACTCATCCTTTTCCTGCTTATCAGACTCCTCTCTTTCGTTTGCCAACGAGTCAATCTTTCTCAGTGTGGCCGTTCCCTAAGGTTTGGCGCCCTGAATGTTCCCTCTCCCTAGACTCTCCCTCATATATTCTCTCGGCGTCAGGTATTACCTCTGTGCTAACGGCTACTGAATCTCTCTCCTTAATTGTGTTCTCTCACCAAAGCTCTGCTGACACAACAGCAGTTACTGGGTATTTCTAAATGGGTGTTCACAATAACCACAGAGTTAGTAATTCAAAAACAACTTACCATTATTCTTCCCGAATGGGCTCTGCTCTCCAACTTGAATGAATATCAGTCTTTCTGGCTAGGAAGATTAGAATCCCCGTGGCTCATCTTGTTTGTGTCTGAACAGACTATTGGGATGTAGTGTGGCTCTGGATCTGACAAACATAAGTTCAGTCCCAGGACCACCATTACTTAACTGTGTGATCTTGGATTAGTCACTTACTCTCTGAGCCCAGCTCCTCATCTGTAAAATGGGGTTAATACTATCTATCTCACAGGGCTGTGAGGATCAGATCACCTGCACTGCACGCAGGACACAGGGGCCAGCACCGGCCCCTCTTTTGTCCGTTCTTCCTGTGAAGGTCTGCCACAGGTCTATGCCAGGTCTAAGTCTTAGTCACACCGGGATTGCTCTAGTAACCTCTCTGCAGTTTGCCTTAAATCGAGCCTCTTGATCCATCCTGCACACTGCTGTCTAAATAATCTTCCTAAGATATGTATTTATCAAATCATGTGCTTATTTTTTTTGAAGATTTATTTATTTATTTGAGAGAGAGAGCAAGTGAGCGGGGGATGGGGAGGCAGAGGGAGAGAGAGTCTGAAGCAGATTCCTCACTGAGCACAAAGCCGGACGTAGAGCTCAATCTCACAACCCTAAGATCATGACCTGAGCCGAAACCAAGAGCTGGACGCTTAACCGACTGCAGCAACCAAGTGCCCCCAAATCATATGCTTACTGATAAAATCTTCAATAGGTCTCTACTCTCTAACAATCAAGGCCTGTTCTGCTTTTAAGGCTGTTCAAACTCTACCCCCTTGAACTCATTTCCTATGTCTTCCCATCACATACTCCAGTTTCTCTTCCAATCATATAGATCTTTTACCTTTTACTATGTCTTCCCACCACAAATATGCTCTGGGTAGACTGGCTTCCTCATTGTCCTACACACACATCAAGATCTTTTCCACCAGGTGGATGCTCTGGCTGTGTCTTCCCTCTGCTCTCAATTCCCCTTCCTGACCACTGACCGTATTTAAAACCTGTACCAAGGGGCGCCTGCGTGGCTCAGTCAGTTAAGCGTCTGCCTTTGGCTCAGGTCATGATCCCAGGGTCCTGGGATTGAGCCCCGCATTGGGCTCCCTGCTCTGCAGGAAGCCTGCTTCTCCTTCTCCCACTCCCCCTGCTTGTGTTCCCTCTCTCGCTGTGTCTCTCTCTGTCAAATAAATAAAATCTTAAAAAAATAAAAAATAAAAATAAATAAATAGAAGTTTAAGGACTTGAGGTGCCTAGATGGCTCAGTCAGTTTAGTGTCCAACTCTTGGTTTCGGCTCAGGGCATGATCCTGATCAGGGTCTTGGGATCGAGCCCCATATCGGGCTCTGTGCTCAGTGGGGAGTCTGCTTGGGATTCTCCCTCTCTCTCTGTCCCTCCCTTGCTCATTCTCTCTCTCTCTCCCTCTAAAATAAATAAATCTTTAAAAAAAATAAAATAAAAGTTTAAGGACTTGTATTGTTTGATATTGTTTACATTGTGTAAGTTTTTATCAGCCCAACTTAAAAATAAAGACAAATGATTAACTTTTTCTGCATTTCCATAAAAATCGAATACATCAAAAAAAAGGACAGTAGATGAAAAGTCAAGAAACTCACACATGACGCTAAAAGGGAAGATAGAAAAAATGCTAATAAGGACAATGAATAAAGAAGTTGAGAGAATAAAAATGTGAGGAAAATTTTTATGAGAGAATATGAAATAGGGAGATTTTTTTTTAAGATTTATTTATTTATTTTAGAGAGAACGTGCACAAGCAGGGGGAGGGGCAGAGGAAGAGGGAGAAGCAGACTCCCCGCTGAGTGTGGAGCCTGACTCGGCGCCACTGGGTCTTGTTCTCAAGACCCTGAGATCATGACCTGAGCCAAAATCAAGAGTCGGCCGCTTAACCGACTGAGCCACCCAGTGGCCCCGGGAGATTATCTTTAACTTCAACATTTCAATGATAAGAATATAAGACAGATAGAATATATTCAAAAGAGAGCTTAAAAAAAGTTCATAAAATCCTTTATGAAAAATGATTTCAGTGGATTTGGCAGAGTGATGAGGAGAGGCGTAAGGCTGGAACACTGGCAAACCAGATCCTTGGAAAGATTATTCTGTTATGTGCACTTTGAGATTTTAAAAATTTAAGAAGTTAGGGGCTCCTGGGTGGTTAAACATTCAACTCTTGATTTCAGCTTAGGTCATGATCTCAAGGTCGTGAGAATGAGCCCTGCATCAAGCTCTGCGCTGATCATGGAGCCTGCTTGAGATTCTCTCTCCCTCTCCCTCTGCCCCTCCCCTCCCTGTCCCTCTCTCTCTAAAAAAAAAAATTTTTAAGAAGTTAAAAAAAAAATCTAATATATCATTGGCCACTTAGTCTAAATGATAATACTTTCAGATTGTTATCACATAAATGATAAAGTTCTTTAGAGTAAAAAACCTTAATATATCTTTCTTTGAATACAGAGAACAATGATTTTCAAGGCAAGGTACCTATCTATCCTCCCCAGGGAAATTTTCTCTAATTCAGACATTCCTTCCTTCACTACCTCCCACTTTCTTCTTGCATTTAAGACCTCTACTTTGGTAAAGCTACTGAGATTGATGAGCCTGCATTACAGCATTTAGTAGATATAGATAAAACATTTAAAAAAATGGGACAACAGGGGGCTCCTGCCTTCTGCTCAGATCATGATCCCAGGGTCCTGGGATCAAGTCCCACATTGGGCTCCCTGCACAGCAGGGAGTCTGCTTCTCCCTCTGCCCCTCCCCCAACTCGTGCATGCTCTCTCTCTTGCAAAAATAAATAAAATCTTTAAAAAAATGGGACAGGGCGCCTGGGTGGCTCAGTTGGTTAAGCGACTGCCTTCGGCTCGGGTCATGATCCTGGAGTCCTGGGATCGAGTTCCGCATCGGGCTCCCTGCTCAGGAGGGAGTCTGCTTCTCCCTCTGACCCTTCCCCCTCTCATGCTCTATCTTATTCTCTCTCTCAAATAAATAAATAAAATCTTAAAAAAAATTAAAAAATGGGACAACACAGTTCTAACTAAGATCAGAGGTAAAATAATTTTCAGCATCATCTATGGACAAAATCTTCAAATATGCCTACCATAATCAGCTGGTGTGTAATTCAGGAGTTCAAATTTCCAGTTTTTATAGCTTGAATAATTCTGGTACATATCAAATATTTCCCGAGTAAACTGCTGGCAGATATCACCTAAAAAAATACAAAAAATATTCAGTCAGCACAGATTTTTTAAGAGAGCCATTCTTAGGTACAGGCCCTTTGGGAAATAGGGAGTAACTGTTTCCATAGTGAAACACATTTAGTGGACTTTTAAAGTTATAGTGTGTCAAACCAAGGTAAAATTTAAGTGTTTTTTTAGATCATTTATAATAAAATTATTTAACTGACCTCCAGTAGTTCTTCCAGATGTCACCTCTAAAATAACATCATTTTTGTCATATTTCTCCTTTGGCACTAGACTCTGGAAAAGCTGAAAATGGAAAAAAAAAAAAATCAGCATTTGTGTGTATATTTTCCATGATATACTACTGCTTGATTTTGGACAAAAGACCTCCAAACATTAAAAAAAAAAAATCAGTAATTAACAAAATCATATAGCATCCCAATGAGGTCTAGTCATTAAATGCTATAATAAGTAGACTGCATTAGACCTAAAATAAGTGATCAATTCATGCAAACAATGGAGTTACTTGTCAGGGTATTCTCCATAATGCTATCAGATTATCTTAATTTTCTAAAATGCCCAAGTTTAGATCAAAGTCTAGAGTGTTCCATTCAATTTTTTTCAGATTTTGCCTCTTATTAGTTCTGAACAGTAGCTTCTTTCATCTAATGAATGAAGTAAAGCTTTGAAAGTGTTCACTTGGAGAAAATGAGGACTCTTTATATATGATTGTGTATTCTCTCCTGCCACAGATGACAGTGGGCCCCAGGTCGTGCCCTGTGTTCTCAGTAATGCTGTTCTGCTTAAAGAATATATTGAGGACTCCCAGGATAAGGCTTAAATAGTTTCTGAGCTGTGACAAGAAAACAAGGGGCTTCCTAAAAAAGTAACTAGCTTCCCTCTAAAGAAGAAAAGGGATGCAATTTTATTTTTTATTACTAAAAAGTTTTTCAAATCAAATTACCTACGTGTCATGACTCTCCCTACTGCCAATTTTTTAAATACTCCATCTCTGTTAGAAATGGTAGTCTGTGGGAGGGAACATCAGACCAAGAGTGACACCATCCTTCTGCCTTTGACTTGCTAGTTAGATCAGTGATAACAGTAACTGAGACCTCCACCTCCTTCTCCTCAACAAGCCCCTCTATGGAGTAGGGGGACTAAAGGCAGGACAACGGCAAATAGGACAGAAGGGAAGAAGATATAGATGCTATATGGCACTGTGGTTTTCGTTGGTCTTTTAGACAAATCACCCATCGAATTACAAGGAGCTAAAGACTTGCGTGAACCAACAGTGTCTATACGTTTGGATTCATTCCACTCTATCCAGAAAGCAAATTTTCAATCCTTAATTAACACAATCACTATGAACCACTCCCCTTTTCTAAGGCTTAAGAACCCCTGATTCTTCCTCTTGGTGAACTAAATTTCTTTACCAGCATCTGTCTCCTCACCTGGCAAGTTAACAGCTTTGGAATAGTTACTCAAGGAGGTGAGGGGGAAAGTGATGTTTTATTCTTCAGCATCCCAATGGCTTCAATCTCATTCTGTAGCAAATTACAGTACTAAACCCAGCTTAATCATTTATCATAAAAGAAGATTTAATAAACTCGTGTTTAGAAAGTACTTTGAACACCAAAGCATAGCTCAGTAAAACAGTATTCTTTTATATTAACACAATTGAGTAGTTTACCTCCTAAAACATACCTCACTGTATAATAGATGGATTTTTTGAGCAATGGTTTGCCTCTCTTCCAATGCGAGTTCTTGTAACTGCTTTTCATCTTGTTTATTTAGACCTACAAACCATCAACAAAAATTATAAATGTTTTTAAATACAGGGAAACTCTTAAATAGCTACCTAATTCTGTCTATAAATTTTATTTCAGTTGTGAAGGAGGGATTATACAAAAGAAGAGTTAGAATAGTTAAAGAATATTAATAAGTACTTGTGAAGCATATCTAAAAAAAATTCATTGTGTAAAGAAATATGATCACTGCCCCAAAGAGTTTATGATTTGAATGTCTAGAACCAATTACAGGAATCAATGATTAATAAAACAAGCTTGAAAAAGGACTGGTTAATTAAATATAAACTCAAATAAGGTAAGTTTTGGAGTAAATGGAGTGACCACTTCTTGTCTTAAAGGTAGCAGCCATTACTCAGGACACTGTGGGTAATCCAGGAGGGCTGGAGTCTCCATTATTTTTTTTTCCTCCCAAGTCAGAAATAAGAACTCTTAGAATTTTGAAATCTCTTGAAATATTTATACCTAGTAAACAGTTTTTAAAAACACCCTGTAAGTCAAACAAAACATCTTTGTAACCTCTGCTTTATGGAAACAATGGTCCTTTTCACATCATTTCAAAAGCAGAAAGTTAAATCCTGGAACTCCCAACAAAAAAAGCTAACAATGAGAGATAGTAGATCTCATAACCTTTGACTCCATTGCTCTAGATACCTAGACTCCATTTGTTAGTGGTGATGCTTGCAAGGTGATATAGAAATGTTTGATTCTTAATAGTAAAGAAGAAAACAGAAATGAAAAATCATAATTATAAAACAGAGAAGGCTCTTTGAAATTTCTTTCCTGGTCATGGAAGTCATTAAGGTCTGGTGGGATTCTATGCCTCATTCATACTTTCAACATCTAACACTTACTATGCACCAGATACTCTGCCAGTTGTTGGGGACACAGGGATGAATAAAACATGGTTCCAGGCCTTAAGGGCTCAGTCTGGTAGGAAAGATCGACATGTAGACACGATCACAGTATGTGACAGGACAGTGCCATGAAGGCATAAAGGAGTGGGTCTAACCAAGACCTTAGCACTTGAGGAAGGCTTCCTGGATAGATGCCATCTGAACTAAATTCTAATTATGGATCATCTGTTGCAGAATTTTAATATCACTAGTGGCCCCACATTATGCACTTATACCACAAATGGAAACTAGGCTGACATTACTTCATATAGGTACCTGCTGGGTCAAAGACATCAGAAAAACCTGATGTGCAGTCACATAAAATTATTTTTGTGCCCTCTTATTATTTACTGATGTGTGAAATCTAACCTAATTCAATTTCATTATATCAAGAAAGGTTTGAGAGTCTATTATATCCTATGTTTGGTGCTGCAGGAAATCTAAAAATGAGTAAGACATAGGCTCAGTCTTTGAGGAACACATAATGAAGGAAGGGACAGAAATTAAGACAATTATATAAAGGATCAAAATTCAAAACAGAGAAAGGTAACATTTTTGTTTTGCAGAGGGGATTGAAGCCAAAGTATGACATCCAAGCCACACTTTATAAGTGAAATGAATTTTAACAAGGTAAAATTGGTGGGTAACAATGTGTGCAAAGACAGATATGGGATGACATGGGTATGTATATTCAGGGAACAGCAAGTTCTTTATTTTTCTTGGAAGGTAGCATATGCAAAGGGAATTAATACACTATACAGAAAGGCTGGTGTCACTTTGCAGAAGCTCTTTTTTTTTTTTTTTAAGATTTTATTTATTTATGAGAGAGAGAGAGAGCACAAGTGGGGGACAGGGAGAGGGAGCTAGAGAAGCAGACTCAATCACAGGACCCCAGGATCATGACCTGATCTGAAGGCAGATGCTTAACTGATTAAGCCACCCAGGGGCCCTTCTGCAGATGCTCTTAAATAACAAATCAAGAAATCTATATTTATAGGCAATGGGAGCTACTGAAAATTTTGAGCAGGGGAGTAATCTGATTACAGTTGTACGTGGACTGGGAAAGCCTGGAAGTGGCATGACAAGTTAGGAATGTATTGTAACTATCCAGGATGAGATATAATAAAGATATAAGAAGGGGACTCATGAAAGGTACACTACAGAGGCAGACTCTGTTGGAACTGGACCCATTGTGCAGTGGCTAAGAATAGAGGCTGTGGAATCTCACTGATTGGGTTCAAATCCTTGCTCCTTGCCTGATTGGCTGAGTGACCTTTGGCATTTTAAGCTCTCAGTTTCTTCATCAATAAAATGGGGACATTAATAATAATTCCTACCTTGTAAGATTATTGTGAATATTCAAATGAGATAATATTTGTAAAATACTTAGCTTAGTGCCTAGCACATGGTAGGGCTGTAAATGTTGCTTTTATCACTGTTATTACAGAAGAGCAGACTTTTAGACCTAGAAGAGACTTCAGAAACAATCCAATCCAATCTCAGTTATACTGGTGATACAATGTATACATCACTGTATACTGGTGATACAACCAAGGCTGAAAGAGATTATGTCAACTTAATTTATAAGCATTTAGTAAGTTCCTATTATATGCAAAGAACCTTCCCCAAACTAATTAATTACAAATTTGAGTGGCATAATGCAGAGTAAAAAAAAAAAAATCCTCATTAAGCATAGTGAGAAACTCATGGTACCACCAATAGAAGGTAGGAAATCCAGGACTTTACAGGTATAACAGTGAGTGGCCTTGACATTGCTTAACATCTCTAACACTTAATGGAACAGAATGGAGCACAGAAGAAAGTTTAGGAACTAAAAGCCTATAGCACTATCGGGATAAATGTTGAATCCCAGGTTAGTCCATTGTGTTTTTCTCTCAACTTCTGTACATTTTGGAAAATTGTCATATGAGAAAAAATGTTAAGGCAATAGCAACACTAAGAAATATCAAAACTAGCAATAAACACCTCTCACACAGATCAAAGAATTAAATGTAAGGTTAAAAAATTTAACTCTCGGGACACCTGGGTGGCTCAGTTGGTTCAGTGTCTGTCTTCGGCTCAGGTCATGATCCTGGGGTCCTGGGACTGAATCCTATATTGGGCTCCTTGCTCAGCGGGAGCCTGCTTCTCCCTCTGCCCCTCCCCCTGCTCGTGGTCTCTCTCTCTCTCTCTCTCTGTCTCTCTCTCACTCTCTCTGTCAAACAAATAAATAAAATCTTTAAAAAAAAAATTTAACCTCAGAAGAAAACACAGATGTACCCTTTGTAACCGTGGGTTACACAACAGTTTCTTAGATGTAACACCAAAACACAAGCAACAGTAGAAAAAAAGGGAAATTTGACATCATCAAAACTAAAAAATTATGGTGCTTCAAAAGATAACCCAGAGGAGAAAAGTTTTGCATATCATATATCTGATAAGGAATTTGTGGCTATAATATAAAGAACTCTCACAACTCATTAATAGGACAAATAACTCATTTTAAAAACGAGCAAAGGATCTGAACAGTCATTTATCCAAAGATGAGATACAAATGGCCAACAGGCACATGAAAAGATGCTCAACATCATTAATCAGGGAAATGCAAATCAAAGCCAAACTCAGATACCATTTTACACCCACTAGGATAGCTAGAATCAAAAGGGCAGAGTAAAAATGGTGCAGCCACTTTGGAAAACAGTCTGGCAACTCCTCAAAAGGTCAAATATAGAGTTATGATAGGCAATTGTAGCACCATTGTTCATAATAACCAAAAAGTGGAAACAACACAATATCCATTAAGTGATAAATGGATAAATAAAAATAAAATGTGGTAGATCCATACAATGGAATATAGTCCCACAATAAAAAGACATGAAATACAAATACATGCTACAACATAGATGAAACTTGAAAATATTATGCTAAATGAAAGAAGCCAGTCACAAAGGACCAATTATATGACTCCACTTATATACAATGCCTGAAATAAGTAAATCTAGAAAGTAGATTAGCAGTTGCCTCGGGTTGGTAGGGAAGGGGGAATTGGGCCACGTGGCTACAAGGTGCAGGGTTCTTTCTGGGATGATGAAATAATACCTGGATGAAATAATACCCTTTGATGGGGTAGGAACTGTATTTCTGTGTCTCTGCTATGTATGTAGGAAAGTGCTCAGTAAAGGCCTGCTCAGTAAATTAAAGCTTTGGTAAAGGTCAATATTCAGTCTCCTAGACCCTAAAAACTTCTTGGCAAGCACCACGAGGAGTTTGGTCTCTTAGTAGTTGATTTTTAGTAGCCAAAATACATCAAACACCCAGGGTAGAATCCTGTCTTCTCTGAGTATAGAGTGTATTCATTCTAAGCTTTTTAAAAAACTGCATTCAAGAAAGCTTTAACCTATAAAATCAATTACATTCTTTACACACACATATCTTTTACCTACTTTTACACATTGAATCTAATTCTTCAATTGCTTGCTCAGCCTCCTGAATTTCTTGGTAAATGGCTGCAAGTGGTGCCAACTCAGCATGCCTTCGATTCAAGGACTTCCGGTCCCCTTCATTCACAGACATATGCTGCAAACACTCATCAAGCGTCCGGTACTCCTTATTCAGGTCCTCCATGTATTTCTGTAGTGCTTTATTCTTCCACAGCATCTTGGACTGATGACAGTATCTCCTGGGGCAATTCTTATTTAGCAGATGATGGAGAATGCGATTCCTGTTTTGTCTAAAAATCCACAGCCTTGTATCAAGATGGATCTGTGTAAATTGATGAGATTGGGGCTGGAGGTGGTACTGGCGGGGACCATTAAGAGATGAATGTCTAAAAAGCCAAGCACACAGGTGACGATTCATCTCAGCATCTGAAATATAATAAACACAATCTGAAAAAAAAAACAACAACTCTACAAATACAAAAGCTGGAAGGAGCCTCAAGAAATCTTGTTCCGTTCATGGGCACAGGCAGCTCCAAACACAGTCTGAAAATTCAGTAATTCATAAAAGGAAAATAATTCTTCATACCTCTGAATCTAACATATTAAAATAAGTGAAGATAGCACGGTTTTCTATTTACTCAATGTATATAATTAACGATGGCAAATGAGTAGAAGCATAATTAATAAATACATCAATAGACTGGGTTCAATCAGCTACTTCCTAGAAAGTATCCAGGATCTAGAATTGAGTACGTCAACAAGCACTTGAAAGGTATGAAATAATCATGCAAGTTTTAGGTGGTTCACATACACAGAGATTTCTAAAGTTTGAAGGAAATACTAACTGTTTTCTTGTCTAATTCTTTAATTTTAGGTATCCAGATGTCCAAGGAAGTCAAGTAACTTAATCATGATTATTTACTCAGCCAGCCAGAGGCAGAGCTCATACTAGAATGCAGTTTGCCTGTTCGGAGCTCAGCGCTTTCCATTCTCAATTCTACAGTCAGGTGCTTATCTTTCAGCTAAGATCCTGAAGGAGGAAAACTTCAGATAGTAACAGACTAAGAAAGTAGGCCAGGTAAAAAGGGAGGGTGGCATTATTCGCATTAAGTGAAAAAAGCAGAATGCAAAACAATATAATCTCAATTAGGTTTTCAAGATTTTCTATGATATATGATATATAAGTAAAAAAGGTAAACAATATTTTTTTGGGAAAAAAAACCCCTAAAAAACAAACATACCAAAACGTTAATAAGATGATTTCTAGTTGTGGGATTGTGGATACCTTTTGCTTGCTTTCTGTTTTTTCTACCTTTCGGTGTTTTTAATATTTTTATACCCACAGCACGTATTACTGTCACAATCAGGAAAAAATAGTTACTTAAAAAAATTACAAGTTAGGTGAAACTGGCTGTGTACATGAATTTCCTGTTCTTCACCCGTCTAATAGACATAATCAAAAGCTAACAAAAGCACAGAATAGTTTTATTAAGAAAGGGAAAAGATAAAGTATTTTAGGAAAAACACTCTGCTCCTAAAATTCTGAGGTTCAAAGTTGAAATAAGGGTCAAAATTTTATGAGAATCAACTTTTACTGTTTCCCGTGTTCCTACTACACTAGGCGGTGCATTCATTTATTAACTCATTTGATCATTGTAAGTCAGCTAACTTGAATATCATTATCTCCTAGAAAATAACACATTCAGAATGGTCTCCAAAACATTCATTCAGACTTTGCAGGATTCTGCCAATGAACTTTAACATCTGAAGCCCATTTGGAAAAAGACTGTGGAAAAACGCACCAATGCCCAGCAGCCACACACGTTACAGTCCTTCAGCAGAAGTTCCCGTGTGTCTTTGCACCTAGTCTCAAGCACATCAGAGAAGTGTGTCCATTTGAAAAAACAGACAAAAGGATGACACATTTTTGTTAGAACACTTCTAGCTAAAATTTCCATCCTAGAAACAGTAGTAGAATGAGTAACTCTTACGATCTTGGACCTCAATGTTAAGAGAAAAAACAGAACCACCACAACAAACCACTCGCTGGGGTTACCTGCGCCCGAGCACGGCCCGTCTTCGCCATCACCCACCGCAGTAGCAGCGTTACTCTGATACTCTAGGAACGATTCTCAGAGTCGGCAGGTCAGAAGTGACACTAAGCCTGCGCTACAGCAACACGTGTACGCCACACTTTGTAACTCAGTACACGGAGTGATCCTACCGAGGCAACATGGAAAAAAAAAATGGGGGTGGAAAAATACTTTTTCTGAGATCAAAAAAAAAGAGGGAAAAAAAAATTGTGAGTACCTAAGAAAAAGAACAAAGGACGACAGCTTTCCTTTCTGAAGCCGGAACCTTCTGTGATCTGCTACATTTCAGCCCGACAGACACTGTATCACTTTCACTTCCGGGTTCACACCTTCCGGGTTAACACTTGCTCTCAGGTTCTCCTCAGCAGTCGTCCTTGGGTGTGCGTAACAGCTAACAGGGGAAACACAACAGAAAAATGACAACTCGAGAAAGAAAAAAAAAATGACAAAGCAATAAAGAAAATTCCAGGAGATGACCATGGGCGGTACCCATCCGGAGCCCGAGCCCAGGGCACGGGTTGCGACAGGATAGGTAGGGTGGGCGGTAGCGGAATGCAAGAATGGACCACAACTTCCGGGAGCTCCCACCCAGGAATCCTGGGAGTTGTAGTTTACGCCCAGGCTGGCCTCCAAGCCCTGGGCCAAAAGTGGACCTCTGGTTTCATAGTTACAGGCAAACACAGGAAAGAGATTCTCTACAATTCTGATTAGGAGATCAAGATTTACAATATATTAATATGAAGTTACAAGAATTTCCTCATATATGGAAATTATATAATGGAGCCACTAAAGAAGTGGGGTTTTTTTGTTTGTTTTTTAAGCAGTTGTTCTTTCATTTTTATTTTATTAATTAATTTATTTTTTTGAGGACTCCCTTTTCAGCATCCCCAGATTTAGGGATTCTGCATGTTTTTTTGTTTTTGTTTTTATTTCTTTTTCCCATTTTCCCCCCTATGGGATCTGCATGTTAATAGTTGTACTTTCAGCTTTCACTGCTTGCGAAAATGCCTAATAACTAAAGGAGGATATAAATTTGTATTTTTAAAAATCATAACGGGGTCCAAAAGATAGGAGACTATATATATCCACAAATTAATGACTTCATAGATGTTGCATGCATATATAGAATTTAGGGGCTCAAACTAGGTTCAGAGCTTGTAAACTAGTGATTAAATAATTATAAAAATCCAGCTAATAAACAATTCCAGGAAAATGCAAATATACTGCCTTACTTTAAATATCACAAGTCACATACCGCTATGTCTCAATATTTCTTTATCAAAAGCCAAGGCAACCATCATCCCATATAACTGACTTCACAGGATATTTTCTTAGGTTGTGACTGCATATAAAAAGGACAATTAACCGTAAATGCAAATATCTAACATTACCTACTTCAAGGTATTTACTTCTACCTAGTATATATTAAATCCTATACTAAATGGTTTAAACCTATTAATTAACTCTTACCACAACAACCCTGAAATACCCATTTTGCAGAAGAGAAAACTAAGACACAGAGAGCTTAAGTAACTTGTCCAAGGTAAAAGAACTGGTAAGTAATAGAACTGAGATTCAATCAAGGTAGTCTGTCTTAGTGTTCTGTGACTCCTAAGCTCTGATACTGCCTCCCTCCTCCAAAAAAAGAAAGAAAAAACAAAACATTCCATTGTTCATTCAATAAATAATGGGCACCAGTTATACGCTACTCACTGTGTTATGGACATGAGAATTTAGCAATGAAGAGAAAAGGCACAAATCTTTGCCCACATGGAGTTTATGTTCCAGTAGGGAACAAATTCCAAAGGATCCACAAAAATCATTCTCCTAAATTATCCAATAAAATCATTTTTTCGTTTGATTTGTGTATGCAGATATATAACTTAAGTAATATAGTATAGAAAGCTTTATTCTTCTTAAAAAATAACTTTACTGCTATGGACTGAATTGTGTGCCTCCCCCCCCCCAATTTAACATGTTGAAGGTAACTCCCAGCATGACCCTCCAGTGAGTGTGACACTGGAGACAGGGCCTTTAAGGTTAAGCGAGTCATAAAGGTGAAGGCCTGATCTAGTAATATTTGTGCCCTGCTAAGAAGAGACATCAGAGAGCTTGTGAGTGCAAGTTCTCTCTTCTCTCTTTTTCTCCAAGACAAAGATGCCTCAGGATGAAACCTACCTTGCCAGCACCTTGATCTGGGACTTCCCAGCCTCCCAAAGTGTGAGAAATAAATTTATGTTGTTTAAGGCACTCAGTCTATGGTATTTTGTTATGGCAGCCCAAGAAAACAAACACATTTACGTGTGTAAAAATTTATTGGGATATACATGAAACTTTATGCACTTTATGTATTTTATTCCTCAATTTTAAAAAAGTCACTAAAGGGACGTCTGGGTGGCTCAGTTGGTTAAGCATCTGCCTTCGGCTCAGGTCATGATCCCAGGGTCTGGGATCAAGTTCTGCATCGGGTTCCCTGCTTCTCCCTCTGCCTGCTGCTTCGCCTGCTTGTGCTCTCTCTTTCTCTCTGACAAATAAATAAATAAAATCTTTTAAAAAAAATCCCTAAAGACATTTATGCTTAGTACTATAAATATTGCTTTCTCCTCCATGCTTTTTAAAAAAGAATATAATATGGTATATCTATATTTATGAATATGCAATGATGTCCACAATCCATCATTAAATGAAAGACATTGTTAAAAAAAAAACCTCAGCAAACAAACAAAGAAAAATTAGAAGGGAGGTGGCGGGGGGGGGGTTGTTGTTCAAAAAAAACACAACTCAGCAAATTGAGTTCCACTTAAAAACATATGATGCATGGAGCACCTGGATGGCTCAGTTGGCTAAGCATTTGACTCTTGTTCTCAGCTTAGGTCTTGATTTCAGGGTCATGAGTTGAAGCTTCATGTTGGGCTCCATGCTGGGCGTGGAGACTACTTAAGAAAAAAATATGTGTGATGCATATATATTTAAAAGTCCAGTGGAATTATAGGTAATCCTTATTTTCTTCTTTGTTGTAGTCTGGATTTCCTGAAGTTTTGTGATGAGTATTATTGTAAACAAGAGAGGTATAAAAGAAAAAAAAAGGACAGTAAAAAAAGATTTTATTTATTTGAGAGAGAGAGAGCGTGAGCATGAGTGGGGGTAGGAGCAGAGGGAGAAGGACAAGCAGACTCCCTGCTGAGCGTGAGCCCAATACAGGCCTCGATTTCACCGACCCTGAGATCATGACCTGAGCCAAAATCCGGAGTCAGATGCTCAACTGACTGAGCCACCCACGTGCTCCAAAAAGGACATTCTTTAATGTTTGATTGAAAAAGCCTATGGGAGGGGCGCCTTGGTGGCTCAGTTGGTTAAGCGACTGCCTTCGGCTCAGGTCATGATCCTGGAGTCCAGGGATCGAGTCCTGCATCGGGCTCCCTGCTCGGCGGGGAGTCTGCTTCTCCCTCTGACCCTCCCCCCTCTCATGCTCTCTGTCTCTCATTCTCTCTCCCTCTCAATAAATAAATAAATAACTTTAAAAAAAAAAAAAGAAAAAGCCTATGGGAGTTATTATTATTGAATCATTTTAGGAAGTTAAGTTCTTTTTTTTTTTTTTAAAGATTTTATTTATTTATTTGAGACAGAGAGAATGAGAGAGAGAGAGCACATGAGAGGGGGGAGGGTCAGAGGGAGAAGCAGACTCCCCGCCGAGCAGGGAGCCCGATGCGGGACTCGATCCCGGGACTCCAGGATCATGACCTGAGCCGAAGGCAGTCGCTTAACCAACTGAGCCACCCAGGCGCCCCTGAAGTTAAGTTCTACTTCAAAGAGTCTGATACATTACAGGAAGCATTTTTCTAGAGGTAGTAATAAAAAGGTTGATTCAGTGAAAAATAATAGCATTTGATTAAATTAGCACCAAGAGCTCCTCTCTGAGGTATTTCTCACAATAAAGTTGATCTCATAAGTTTCTATTACGAACGTATGTGTAATGGGCACTGACAATTGGGTATTCCCTTAGAAATGAAATGACCTATGTCCCTTTCCTCTGCCTTGGAGCAAACAACAAAATACTTGCAGCTATTTTTCAGATTGATTTACAGCAAACTTAGCCCAAAGTCAAAGGGGTAGAGAATGGGGATTTTCACTTCACTTCTTCTCAGAGGCCCCCGGATCGATCCAAAGATGCTAAGGACACGCTTGTGTCTATCACATGAACGGAAGGTTGATTTGTGTCCTGCTGCCGGGCTTCTACATCAGAAAGCATCCACTTAGGGCTTTCCCCGAGAGAAACAGAGCACCACGACTTCCTCAGCCCTGGACATTCTTCAGGGAGCTGGACCAGGGTGGGTGGAGAGATTGTCCCAGGCTACGCTGAAACCTTCAGTCCCACTTGGGAAACTTTCAGAGGCACTGAAAGCAACATAAAGTCCCAGGACGCAAGCCATAAAGCATGATGGGTCAGAGCACCCTGTGAAATGCACTTTGGCTTTCTGGCTCACTGAAGTTTAGGGTCTTGACCACGTCCTGAAGCATCCCACAGTGTAAAGATTGGCAGCCACTTGAGATTTTAATCAGCTATGTTTTATTACAGAAAAAGTGAAACGAGGGGGCGCCTGGGTGGCTCAGTTGGTTGGGCGACTGCCTTCGGCTCAGGTCATGATCCTGGAGTCCCGGGATCGAGTCCCGCATCGGGCTCCCTGCTCAACCGGGGGTCTGCTTCTCCCTCTGACCCTCACCCCCCTCATGCTGTCTCTCATTCTCTCTGTCAAATAAATAAATAAAATCTTTAAAAAAAAAAAAGAAAGAAAGAAAAAGTGAAACGAGGAATTATTTGACAATTTAACACAAAATCCAAGCCTTCGCTAAAGTGGAAAAGAAACAGCAAAACAAAGATTATTCTACTTTTATTCTTGTGAAGTATTTACCCTGAGAGAAACAGAATACGAAGGATGAAAAGGCAGCATTTCTTCTTTTCATATATTCATACTGGTTCTCAAATTTTTCTTAGCTTGGGGGGAAAACAGCCAAAAAAATGCGCCACCTGCTGGCGTTATGGAAACTAGATCACTCATTATTTTCAGAATCCGTGTAAGAGGTCAACCTACTCTTTTCCCTTTACTACTACTACTAAAAAACAAACAAACAAACAAACAAACAAAAAAACCAAAGCCAGGTCAAAGACAAACTGATCCTGGAAACTCCCTTTATTCCACCCTAAACTGGTACCGAAGTCGGCTTTGACAAGCTCTCCTAAAACTCCTTGGTGATTTCATCTCTTCCATATATCATCTTAAATTTCAGGCTAAATATTTTTCTTAAATCATTTACATCGGATTCGAGTTGTATATTTTAAAATCTTTGTTTCAGTAAATTTTATTTTCCCATCTTTTTCTCCTAACAGTAGTA